TTATGCTGTAGAAATTAAGGGCATAGCTGCATCCCATTTCCATAATACACATTGTACCACCCTAGAAATACTACACCCACTCTATATATTGAATATTCTCTATACTACTATAACAGTATAGCCATGCTTCTTATGCAGGTAGAGAGAAATTTAAATAATCAGCATTTTGCACCAAAGGAAATGTCTGAACTTGTTGTGGCAACAAACAACAATCAAACTGTAACATTGTGCAAGGAAAATCAATTCTTTTTATTTAAAACTTGGATTTTATATCCATTTAAATTCATTTTATATATCTACTGCCAGTTGAATCTCTCTGGATTTGCTCTAGCACAGGAGGTGAATGTTTTAGTTGCTCCCCTTGCTCGCACATGCACAATGGAGGTGAACAGGATGCGTATGTGTGTCAATGCCCTGAAATCAATGAGTACATGTGAGTGAGTATCAGAGCGACCAAAGAAAACAAGTTGCACTCCCTGACAGTGTTATTTAACTTTCATTTTGAAAGAGCAATGGCCAGTGGGAGAGTCCAACACTAAGAAGCCTGGACTCTCCATCGGCCCTGTCAAAACTCAGATATAGCTAAGTTGTCTCTGACTCTCTGAACTCACACAATTAGACTTGGAGTTGTTGCAGTGCACATGTTAATTCCTGAAATACAAGCAGAGGACAGAGAAAGTTACCAGAGCAATAAAAAGCGCAGACAGTGTATTAATTGTGTCGTCGGCGTCCAGGTCGTCACCTGAAATGAGCTGGAGCCACTTTAACAGAGCAGCAGAGGACTGAGTGCAATCCAGTGTTGTCCTCCTCTGAACTTCAGCTAATCAATTAACGTGATTTAATGCACAGGCACTCGGCATTGGAGGCAAGCATGGCTCAGCGTTCGCCTAATTTATACTGTTTCGACCGTTCCACATACGTGCAGGGAGAGAGGGAGGAAGTGGAGGTGGGCAGGCTGTGCTGAATAGAGCTGGATCTCAGGGGAAAAGGAAGTGATTGTTTTATTTTTACAGTTTAACATTGGCAAAGTTTAAAGAGCTGGGGGGGAAATAAGAGAGAGAGGCAGAGAGAGCCTGACTCAGTCCTCTCCCGTGAGCCTCTGTCTCGCCTTTGGCATAAAAAGTGAGCCTGCATATTACTCAGTCTATCACAACACAGCAGGAGAATGGAAGGAGAATTAATACACTTTGGTGCCAGTGTGGTCTCTCTCTGCCTTTCTTCTCTCCTGCACTCCTGCTCTCTCCTTCTCTTCAAGCTCCACTGGACAAAAGCACTTTATGTGCTAATAAAATTAACTTGTATATTGCTTTGATTTTTTTTTTCCCTCCTCACCGACAACAACCAGGCTGAGGGAGAGAAGTGAAAGAGGGGAGGGGTGGAGGAGATCTCTTTGGATCTTCTCTGGATTGTATTCATTTTTCTGTTCACTTCCTAACATACGCCCGGAGCGAGCGGCGGCTCTGTCTTCAGAGTGCTGCTGTGGCTCGGGGCGAACATTTTTTGTCTGTGTGCATTTCAGTGACATAAACAGCATCGAGCCCTCCTTACCCTCAGCAACCATCTATCTGCCTCTCATAAATCTGAATGACATTAACATTTAAAAAACCCAACTCCTGCCTGTCTGTGGATGGGCCTCTCAGATAGACAGGCCTCCATTTTATTTATCCACTGCACGGCGGGCAGGGAAGACAGGCATCGCCGCAGACAGGCATAAATCTGAGCAGGTTAGAGCCTCAGCCGGCGGGTTAAGTGAATATCAGCCTCTGCCTCCTGAAGCAGCTCACACTCCTATTTCACACTCCTATTAAATATGTGTTTCATTTCTGCCTTATTTGGATGGAAAGTAATTTTGCTCTTTTATAGAAGGTCATAAAATATATAGTGTTTTTTAACACTCTGCATAACATTTACATTTTCTATTGTATAAATGTGATCGCCGCGACACGGGGCTGAATAAAACATTCATGGCAAAAGCCATTTCTTCTGTGACATTTGGTCCCCTATCTATCATCAGTTTTCTATATGCAGCCAGGAGAACAAACGCTGGTCAAATGTTTAAATGTGGCCTCTCCACATAAAATTTAAACCCTGCTTTCACATTAACAGCCGCCGGCTCGTAGATGGAAATGCCTTTTTTTTGCGCAGATAAGAGAAAAGTCAAATGGAAATGACTCGTAAGGCTGTTGTGGCATTGGGGAGCGCGCCGATGGCCCTGGGAAATTGAAGCATGTCAGTAAAATTAGAAAGGGAAAAAAAAGCTGGGGCTGCCTCGACCAGCAGACATGTAAATGTGGCAGAGCCCCTCAGATGAGTCCATTATGGAGCGTCCTGCGCAGCCTTTTCTCATCAGAAATCCCATCAGTGTATTAAAAGGTATAGCCTTGGCACTGACAAATTAATTCTTTCAGGGGTTTTTTTCCTGACTGATTTGAATCGCTGCTGAACTCAGGGATGGGCGGCAATTCAACATTATCATTCATCTTCATTCAGCAGAAAGTGGAGCAAAGAAAAACATGGAAATGATTTATCATGATACACAACTGTGTTTTCTAAATTAGTGATATTATGTAAATATTGTACAGGGCACGTCTCACAAATGAGTTTTATCATACTTTATTTAGTGTGTAAATTGATGATATCAATGTGATTATTTTTCACATTTATTTATTCTTTATGCCTCTGAACACTCCTGTATTAAAGACTTTATACTGGAGTCAGTCAAGGCCACAAAACATCCAGAATACGCAGTGATATTTAGTAATAGGTTTTACAGGATTAAGAGATTACAGCAGAGTGGAGGGAAACAAGATCTGTTTGTATAAACTAATGAACAGTCAGTTTTCATCTGAGTGTTAACTGCAGATGAGAGCATAGAATATGAAAATTTCCTGTTTACAATCTATTATTTTCTGTAGCGGCACAGCTAACATGACAGCTGTATATTATTATGAACAATAATGGGAACACAGTTTAGCTTGTGGGCTAATGGTGACAAGCCCTTTGTGTAAATATTCAGACACGTCCCACCTCAGCAGCTGCGTTTATCAAAATGTTGTCGCTCATAGAGGAATCAATTGTTGTTCTAGTGACTTCATCTGATAGATAGTAACAATAACTGTATATAAAAATGGACGACATGACAGCTCTCAAAAATAAAGCCAAAACATCTTGATCACCTCCTGGTGGATGGTTGCAGTACAGCTCATAAACCCTGCCTCCTCCATGTTAGCATAAATGGACCAAATTTAAAAGTCAAAGTACACATATAAATATTTTTTTCTCAAAGATGCTTTCTGTCATTTGAAGTAGTTCTTCTCACATTGATGTGAATAAAAGTGTTTGTGATAGTGATTCATTTGGTGTTCATTTATTATTTGATGATTTGAAAATCGGATGAAATGTGATTGGCTTGCGAGTGGTCGAGGGGCGGAGCCTTGAGACCGCAGCTCTACTCCACGGTCAAACCCACACAGCCTGACATAACAAAGTACTTTCCCCACTATGAGACATGCAAAGAACACGTCTGCATAAAGACAGAAATGATTCACTCAAAATGAAAGATCATGTTTACTTCAAGATTGAAAATGATCTCCTCATCATTTTAAAATGCACACTGATAATCGACAGCCCCACACATCATGAGTTAAAGGAAAAGTGAGACAGACACTTATGAGCTGCAATCAAAAGACTGCATCTACAATTCAGTGAATTGATAATCAGCAACTTCACCTTATGATCAGGACGCTGTTTTTACATCCAGTCATCCGAGTTGCTGGATTCTGCCAGTTTGGAAACTGTGTTGCCCCATTTCAGGTTGTGTGAAGGACTCCCACAGGTACTCATTAGTATTGTTTACTCGGAACCCAAAGGGGCCGTGCTTTCCTCTAATCACAGATAACACCTTCTACACTCTGGCACCATTTTTTCCCACAGATCTGTGATCTCGCTGAGAAATATTCCAGTCCAACAATTTGCATCAAACTATTTCCTACAGAGGAGCATGCATGTTACCTTGTGCTCAAGTCAAGAGTGTGGCCTTCAGGTGTCACAGTTACCCAATTTACTATAAGCGCTTCACTGTTACTGTCTATCATCATCAAGACGATCCACTGGTCTCGCTGCATGTGCACGCTGGTTTACAAACAAAGCGGTGTGAGCTAAGTTCAAGGTGCAGCAACCACATTATTGAATTCTGCATAAGATTTCATGGGATGAAATCAATAAGCTTCCGTTTATGCCGTGACATGAAGCCTCGCAGCCTGAAGTCAACCTATCACAGTCACACCTTTTCTTCAGGGCCAACAGAGGACACAAAGGTGGACGACACACACAGACAGAAAACAATCAATTTAGGAGCATATAGGTGGGGGTTTCTATTCCCTGTGTTTCCAGGAGGTGACCAGGAGGATGGTGTTTGTTTTCTGATCTGAAAATTCAAACAACTAACTTTTGAACAAAGAAAAAGTGCAAATGAGGCAAGTTAGAAATGTTTGAACTGATTTGGTACAACCGTAAATGAAGATGGACGACATGACGGCTCCCCACACGTGAACTTCCTGTGGTTCCTTGTGTTTACTTACAATGATTTGCACAATCCCTCCTCTGGTGCTTGTAGTATTTCTATATTTATATTTATGAATAGTAAATTATTGTAAATGATTATGATTCTGTGTATAAAATACATACTCAGCATTTTTTATTTGATTTTTTTTACATTTTTATTCTATTGCCTTTTCTTTATTGTCTTGTCTACCTCATTATGACTTGCTGAGCCCGAATGTTGAATTAGTGAAATGTTAAAATAAAGTGGAATCCATTAATACAATTATAATTTATATTAATTTTTTATACATTTCTGCTTTTGAATTATTTCCTGTATGTTGAATACTGGAGCATTTGCAAGTGTGCGAGGTGCATGTTGTTATTTCCCACAGTACGTAAACGCTGCACGGACTCCTCCCCTCCTCCCCTCCTCCCGCGCCTCCTCGCCGTGCGTGTGCCCGCCGGTGAAGGCGCGCGCACGGGGAGGTGGCGGGGGGTTGTGCTCGCTCCCGGCTCCCGGTGCTCTCTGACCCCAGCGGCGGCTCCGTCTCACTGCACCGAGACTCGCTCTCCTTCTGCCCCGCTGTCCGCCTGCGTCTCTCTCCCTCCTCTCCGGTTCTCCCCCTCTCTCTCTCACTCTCTGTGTCTCCCCCCCCCTCCTCCGCTCTCTTGTCTGGTTTCTATCCACAGGAGAGAGGTCCCGCCGGGTCGAAGGTTCTGCCCTGCCCGCCCAGACTGCCGCAACCTCCGGCTGCTGCTGCCGCCGCCGCCGCCGCATGGACCCGCGTCCCTCCACCTCCACCGCCGCGTAGAGGGCGACCCCGACCCGACACTCCACCTCCGGCCAGATTAAAACAAAAAAAACCCCGCTCAGAAAAACCAACCTCACCGCCAAAGGTAGAGCAACCTTTCCGCTTTGCTTGTGGGGGAGCTCCGGGGACGGGGAGGGAGCGGACCCGGGGAGGAGAAGGAGGAATTCCTGACACAAAGCCGTCGGTTGAAAGGTGGCTTGTCATCCGGGAGGAAGAGCAGGAGGTTAGCCGCTGTGACACACACCTCCTCCCCGGTGCTTCGCTGTATTTCACGGAGAGGAGTGAAAGCATCGCACGGATCTTTCTCTTTCCCTCCTGTTTTTTTTATTTTAATTTTTTTTTTTTCTTCTTCTTTTTGTTGGGTTCATTTCTGCAGGCGAGCGGCGCCTCGCTCTCACATCGTGTAGCCGACATGCACGCTATCAGACGGGGTCAATTTATTTCGCCTTCGCCCCCTCCGCGTGAAGTTAGCTACACGGTGTGAATATGCAGCCACAGCACTGACTGTGAGTGTGTGTGTCTGTGAGTGTGTGTGTGAGTGTGTGTGTGCAGCCTGGTTGTGTTACAGCAGCTAACCCGTGCATAGCAATACAAAAAAAAACAAACAATAATAATAAAAATATCTCTTATTGCCAGGGCAGGTTTAGCAGCAGGCTAAGCTAGAGAGCTAGTTGCTGCTACTGTAGCCATAAGGTAGGTACACACACACACACACACAGAGTGAAGCATGCTGCACACAAATCAGTCCTCAGCTTTTTTTTTCGGCCTGCATGTGCAAATAAACTGCACATTTTCCAGGATTTGCAGCAGCAGTTGTGCTCCAGGTTTTTAAATGTTCCACCTCAGTAGAAATGACTGCAGGTGGAGGAGGAGGAGGTGGAGGAGGAGGAGGAGGAGGGGGGGTTAAATGATTGTTTTGAATGATTTGTAGAAGGCCCCAGGGAAGCTGGACACATGTCATTTTAACTTTTTCAGTGGGAAAGACTGTGTGACTTGTGTTGTGCAGCTGCTGAGTTAACCTACCTCTATCTAGGCTGGCATAAATCTTCCACACTTAAATTCATAGCACACGTCCCAGAGAGCAGCAACCGGTTGACCCAGAAAACATGAATCAATTTTTTTTTTGTGTGTGTGTGTGTGGAAATAGGACATTTTCTTTAGCTTTAAATTGAGAGGTTGTTTGCTTTTAAGATAATCAGCCGGAGGTCAAGAGCCGTTTTCTTTTTCCATTTTGCTCGTCAGAATGAACTGTGGAGCTGCAGATTTCCCTCCAAAAAGAGAGGGATGACAGATTTGTTAATTCAAAGGCATTTTTTTCCTCCTTCTTCTTCTTCCTCCTCGTGTGGTTGTGGCGGCATCAGGAGGTCTGGTATATAAAGCTTGTCAAAGCCCACAGTGGCCACTTTACTATCAGTCAGGGAGGTCAGACAGGAGGAAGCTCAGGGAGCAAACAGCCAAGTCCGGTGAGTGAGCGCTGAAAATGCAAAACCTACACAGATGCTTTTTCTTTTTTTTTCTTTTTTTTTTTACTGCTTCTCCTGAATTTAAATTTAAAAGTGCATAATGTTCTATTTACTGTTGCTGTGACGAGAGCAGTTCAGTTGGGGGATTATTGCGACTGCACCAGGACTGGAATTAAAGCAGCACATCTTTTGTTTTTTTATTTATTTTTTTTGCATGTTAGGGGTAAATTGTCAGCAGGGAGGCAGAAGCTGTTTCATGCATGGGTTGTGGAGAATTTCATGTTTTATTGAAAGGCTTTGCAACAATTTGATCACCAGCAGAGACGCTACCTGCAGCTTCTCTTTCTAGGTATGTTTTAATTTCAACAGGCTGATGCCTCAGAGGACATGCCTGCAGTGATTTTTTTATTTTTTATTTTTTTACATTTATTAGTTTGCATAAAAAAAAACCCAAAGCAGGTTATGAGCAGCAGAGCAGCAATTAAAAATGTGCCTTGGAGATTGTAATCTGACGCCTGAGCAATCTTAGCGTGAAGTTTTTCTGAAAGAAAAGACGATTGCAAACCTTTTAACAAGCTTTTTAATTCTTTTAAATGAGCAGAATATTGTTTGGAAAGGTTGAGTAAATGTGCTAATTATGTTTTAACTTACTTTACTGCATTTCATATTAATTAGGGTTTCACGGAGAATTGTTTGAGGTGTGTTTAAGGTGTTGCAGGAATATCTTGCGAATTTGAAATGGTGGCACAGCATCAGGAGGAACTTTGTGTTTTCTGAAGCCAAATTAAGGAAATGTGTAGATGCATATTTACAGAACATATGTTGTGATTATTGATTATTAGAAAAAGATCCCCTCCTCCACTTGATATGTGCTCTGTCGGTGTCTTTGCACTGCTGCAACCTCAGGATCGTTTTTCCTCTTAGATACATTTTTACAACAGTTTAAATGTGTGTTGGTGGGTTCTCCCTCTCAGTGCATGCCTCCTGTTTTAAAGCAGCTGATGATTGTGTGTCTCCCCCCTTTCGGTGCAGACTGCAGCTTGTCGTGGTTGAGTCGGTCGGCCGGGTGGCTGCTGCTGCTGGGAGACTTTCCCTGGGCTTGTTGAGCGGCTCTGAAGGATGACTGCTGCACGGCTCGCTGCTGAATCCCGGTGAACGAACGGCGTCTCATGTCCAAACGGCGGAAGGATGGCTCATGGCAAAGTGACCATCACGGTGGACGAGTACAGCTCCAACCCCACACAGGCCTTCACACACTATAACATCAACCAGAGCCGCTTCCAACCTCCACATGTCCACATGTAAGTACACACACACACACAAACACACACACACACTGGATCACCTACGATGAACTTGTCAGCTAAAATCAACATTTACCTGACTTTCCATGAATTGAATTGAATTGAGTTAAAATCACATTTTATAACATTTTTACTAAACTTTTAGTGTTTTTTATATTAAGTTTTATCCAAAGTTCAGAAGAATACATCACCCAGACACTGAAAACAAGCAGCTTTGTAGAAATTATGCTCTGCCACAGGAAGCCAATCAGGAGCCTCTTTGATGCAGCGTCTTTGTTTATACTTGAGTTTAATTGGCTCACGCTCAGAGAGGGTACGGTGTCCAGAGAGGACGAAAAAAAAAAGGTGGAAACTGCGTTGCTGAAATTGAATTTTACTGTTTAAAAAGTTTGTGGCAGGTTAAACATGTTGCTTGAAACACAAAGCTCAGATTTTACAAACATGCTTCTTTTGCACAAACACAAAACAAAGAGTAAAAGCGTCTCCTCCCTGCGTGCTGCTGTTTCTCGTGGTCGTGTTACGTGTTATCGTTTGTGCCATGTTGTCGTTGCGGTGCACGGAGACTTTTTTCGCATTAGGGCGCTCTTGTTATTTATTTATGAGACCAGTTGCTTAGCATTGCTCTTGTCTGATGTGGTTATGCTCTGCCTCTCATTAGTGGGTCAGAGCGCTGTGACCCATCAGCCCTCGACATGCACGTGTGTTTTTTATCTGTGCACAGATTTTTAACACAGAGCTGCAGCTCGCTTTGTGTCATCTCCCAATTGCGGCGGTTTTGAGCTTTTGATGAAAGGTCTGTGACTGATTGTTGTTGTGGTGGTTACATGTGCAGTTTGAGAGCTTTTATATTCACTGAGAGCGATGTTTAAAAAGTTAACCTGCGGCAGGAACAAGAATCGATTGAGGAAGAGGAACAAAGGGCTGCCTGCCTGCTGTGTCCATTGTAGTGTAGTGTCATGTTGCGTAGCTTGATTGAACTTTTATTCTTTGTTGTGTAACTTTGGTTTGATTGGACTCTTTTAGATGCATCTTTATTCAGTTTCACTTTATTTCTTTTTTATCACCCCACTGCCTTCTCAGTTCCTCTGTGGCATTTTTCGAAATTGCAGGTGGAACAAATCAGGATCGATAAAATATTTTGCCTGAATTAATGAAATATGAAGCTTGTTTGAGCTGATTGTATGCATCAGAGCAACTTGAGTTTTAAGTTTGCAATGTGAAAACTAATTAAATAAGTGCCACAGTAGTCACTGTAGCCTGACATATAATTCAACCGTTAAGAGGAAAACCACAGTCAAGCTCATTCACATTGTTGTCCAAAATGGCAATATCACAACGTGTCTACTCAGGCACGGCCGTTTTAAAAAGAGATCCAAACTGTTTTTCTTCACTACAAGTTTTAAACTCCTGTCTGTTGCTTCTGAGATCCTGAAAAACTTCTCCTGAAAGCCGCAGAATTATTAAAAAATCATTATTTCTGTCCAGACTGAAATCAAAGATAAGTTTACAGTAAAGATAAAATCCTAAATAAGTTATTTTGATAGGAGACTGTAAAGTCCTCACTCACTCAGTCTGGTTGAACATGTGCTCAACTCACCGCGTTGCATTCAGGTGCAGGGAATTTGCATCTGCGCCAAGGTTGAACCAGCAGGGTTGACACTCTGAACTGGAGATGATGCAGATACAGAGGCATCATGGACAGTTGGAGAAAGGCCAGATGAAGCTGAGCTCTCTCTGGAGAGCTGCAGACACCAACCACCCGCTCTGCTTCACTCTGGAGATCGACAACATCAACCAAACAAGTTGACTTGTTCTTTTTCACATTATTTACCTCAGACACTCGGATTCCCTCGATTCTATCTGGATAATCACATTCATGTAGACAGGATTATTTTGGAGGTGACAGTCAAATCGTGGACTTGTGTAAACAGCTAAATGGGACACTTACCTCCCTCCTGGTGTTGGCAGCGTTCACATTATTGTACCACCGTGTTGTTTTGGGATTCCTCAGCTGTGAGCAGCCGAGCTGCCAGCGCAGCGAGCGTCGGCGCCACGGATGTGGAAAGAGAGACAAGGTCACCTCGCACTTTGTGTTACGTCAGTCCGTTTTAATGGTTGACAAAGGCGGCAATAAATCAGGCCAAATGCTTCAATATGAATCAGGGTAGACGCAGCGCCAGCTACATCTGAATAGATTCTAGTTTGATGTTTGAAGAGGCTCCTTCGTTTTTTTTTTTTGTTTTTTTTTTTTCTTTTACAGTTAGCGGCC